CCCCGCCTCAGATTTCCTTGGGGTTCCCTTCTCCAGCTTGGAGGTCCCTGGAGGACCCTGGCTTCTGGGTGGGTGCAGGGGCGCTGGGATTGGGTTTCTAGGCTGATGAATATTCATCAGCCTGAACTGGCCTCTACTTCTGTTTACTTAGCCGGGAGGGGCTGGGTTTCAGGTTCACCTTGACTCCAGGAGCTGCAGCGGGAGCAGGTACCCGCTCCTACACCTGTTTCTCTGGCACCTGACGTGCAGCTGCCCCGTTCACCTCCCCTGGCTGGAGCCTTGCCTGGCGCAGCATCCTGGAGACACCCCCACCTTCTCCAGTCTCACCCTCCTGGGCAGCTCTTACACGCGCTCCTTCTCTAGGGAAGGTCTCGCCTCCAGCCCGGAGCAGTCTGGATTACAGGTACAGGCAAGGGGCAGGTGGATGGGGAATTCAAGGCAGAGTTCCCAGTCAGGGCACTCAGTTCTGCCTCCATGGCTGACAAGCCCATGGGTAGGAGAACCCAGGCATGCCGTCTCCCCCACTATCTGTAGGTGGGCAGGCAGGACTGCAGACTCATCCCATGGGCTTCTTGGAGTCGATCCAGGCCTCCAGCAGAGCTCCTCTCCGGGGAAGTCTCACTTCAGAGCAGTTCTCTATTAACTCTTGCTGAACTGGAGCTCCCCCTACCCACTTCCCCCACCCCCCCCACCAGCCTGAACATGTTTCTGGTTGTCCAGGGCACCCAACCTCATCTAGGGTGGAGAAATGCCATTAAGGGCCTTGGAGGAGAGGGTTCTGGGTCTTCTTGAACAACCTAGAAGCCGGCTTGCTCCCTCTCTCCCCTAGTCAATGGTTAACCCATGCTAGCTTAGGAAAGGGCCAGACCCAGTCTGGGCAAAGCCATCAGAGAAGCTCATGAAGCCAGCAGGGGTAGTGGGACAGTCCTGGGGCATCCATGTGCATGTCATGGTGCTGGTTGCCAAAGGCAGGGGGTGGCAGGCATCCCTTCAGGCCAGTCCTGGGCTCCAAAGCTGTGTGGACAGCGGAGGTGGAGCTGACACCCTCAGGGGCTGATTATATCTCACTGTTGATTGCAGGGCTCCCAGGGCAAGGGCTCAGCCCTCACTCAGCCAGTACAGGGCCCTGCACAGGCCAACTGCAGGCCCAGGAACTTTCACCAAACACTGGACTCCAAAAGTGAGATCCCAAAAGCCAGGTCAGCCCCAGACCTTCTGTGATTAGGTTGGGCATGTAGTTGTAGGTGTCTTCTCTAGGTATCTTCCCACTTTGGGTATCTGGGAACTTTGAATATGTCACCTTTTCTTTAAAAAAAAAAAAAAGAAAGAAAGAAAGAAAGAAAATTAGATTGTATACTATCTTGGGATAGTTCACACTAAAAGAATCTTGTGTTGTGTTGTTGTTAGGTGCCGTCAAGTTGGCTCCGACTCATAGCAACCCTCTGTACAACAGAACGAAATACTGCCTGGTCCTGTGCCAGCCTCACAATTCTTGCTATACCTGAGCCCATCATTGCAGCCACTGTGTAAGAATCTTGTAGTTGGCTTATTTTGTAAAGCAAAGAAGAGTCCCCTAATTTATATTTTGCAAATTCAGATTTCCATATGCCAGGCTTGCCTAGTAAACACCTGCCCACAGATGCTTACATGTTCTTCCTGGACAGAAGGGACTGGAAGCCCTGGCAAAGGGTCTTCTAGAAAAACCAGTGCAAACTCAGGTTACGAGGGCACCAATGCCTTGTCTCTTCAGAGGGAAGGTTGGGCAATCTACTTCCATAGTGATACTGCCTTGGAGACCCAAGAAGGGGTCGTCATGAATTGGATAGATTCCCTAACAATGGGTTTTAATGCCTTGTCTTGGTGGAGGCTCCAGGGGAGGGTCCCAGGCTATTCCTGTCTCTTAATGGCTTTCTGATAAGAAATTCCTTGTGATCTGTCACGCCCTTTGCTTCAAGGAGGGTGAAGCTCCATGGGTGCCAAGTTGACATACCCATTAAAGGAGACATATGTTAGCCAGCATGTCCCTTCGTGGAGCTAGGTGGTCTGGTGATGACAGTGAGTTCAGGAGCTGGATTTTCTGTTCCTCCTTCCCCAAGTTCCTTGGCAGGCCTGGTGGGCAATGGGGGGGCCAAGGGCCTTGTCCCAGGCCAGGCAGTAACTGGGCACTCACAGAGTAAGCAAGTGCCCTGTCCCTCCTTCTTTGCCCTCCCCCCAACTCCTTCCAGAAGCCCGTTCTGGAACACCAAGTTCTGTGCGAGGCTGTGCTAGGCCCAGGTGGGGCAGGCTGCCAAAGTCAACCTCTCAGGCCGTCCCCTTGGTGCGCTCACCTCTCCAGGGTGTCCTGAAAGTATGGGTCTGCCACTCTTACGCACTCCTTCATTTTCCAAGTGGGAGCTGCATAAGATCTCCCCTTGGCTTCTCTGGGTATTTGAGCTCAGCTACAGGCCCAGAGCTGGCACTGTGTGGTTTGCTTCCTGGACAAGGTGGGAAGGAATCCTTTGAGTATGTGCTCAGGGAAAAGGGGTGGGGGTGCGGAGGGGTGGAAGACAGCCGCCGCAAGGGGTGATGGGTGCAGGCACGCAACTCATTCCAAACCTAAGCCAGCACCTTGTTTTCTTTTTTCTCTAATTTGATGGGTTTCTTCCTTTCAAACAATCTACACTCATTATGGAAGATCTGGAAATGAGGAAAATAGAGGGAGAAAGCATCTCCTATTAGTCCTATATTAGAAAAAAAAAAAAAAAAAAAACCCAAAACAATAGTTTGGCATATTTCTTGCTGATCTTTTTAGAAAACATAGTCAAGACAATCAGTTTTTTCACGTCTAGCTTTCTGGTCTGCTCTTTAGCTACTGTGGGGGCAGTGGTGGTTTTGTGGTAGACTCCTTACCTTCCAGGCAGGAGACCCAGTTTGATTCCTGGCCAATGGACCTCAAGCACAGCTACCACCCATCTGTCAGTGGAGGCCTGCATGTTGCTATGATACTGAGCAGGTTTTAGTGGAGCTTCCTAAGACTAGGAAGAAAGGCCTGGAGATCTACTTCGGAAAATCAGTAGACATTATGGATCACAGTGGTCCAACCCTGGGTCACCAGAAGTTGAGGGCTGAGTCCACAGCAGCCAGCAAGGACTACTGTATCCTCAGGAGCTTTCTCAGCCCACACCGAGGAGTCCTATGACCACTACCCTCTCCAGGGCCAGAGGTATCCATGCTTCTCATCATTCGGCCTGCTCTTTCATTGATCTTAGTGCCTCTAACCTACTGTCACTTCTCCCATCCTACATGCCCCAGATGTCAAGGCATCATCATCTCCCAGAACTTCCACTAGCTCATAGCCTTTATACAAATTAGCAAAAAGTGAGGTCCCGAGGGAAGGGAGCTCTATGGAAAAGTGCATGCTTGTGCATGGAGAAGCCTGGATTTCAGCTCCCAGGCCCCACCTCCATGAGGAGCTCGTGTGGAGGGAGGTACGACCTACATGGCTGTATTTCACACATACCTCTTGGCACCAAACTTCTTTGCAGTCTTTCAAATTCCTCTCCTCATGGAAGCTGGGTGGGAAAAGGGAGCCATCCCTTAGTAATTATTAACATCAGCAGAAGTTTAACTTTGCAAAGCATGTCTACCTCTGTGGAAGGGATTAACATCAGAGCCAAAGATAAGGGCTGGAAGAGACAGATGAGGAAATCAAGGCCCACACACATAACTTGCCAGAGGTCACGAGGTAGAACAGTCCCAGGACTTCTCACTCCCTCCCAACCCGAGGTTCTTCCCTCTTGGACAAAGGTCAGCAACTTCTTTAGCCTCTTGGTCACCAGTGGGAAGCCTGAATTACTCATAATATTACAAATTCTATTTTATTTTGTGATGAATTCACAATGAATTCCAAGCAAAGCACACTGGGCGTTTTAATCTGTCTGATACCAGTCGGCCATCTGCCCATCTCCTGGTAGCAGGGCCTGGCATGGGGTGGGAAGAACATGGGAAGGGGTCAAAGATCTGGATGCTGAGCATCCTAAGCAAGTGCTTCCCCTTCCTGGGGCCCTCAAAACCAAACCCAAGCCATCGCAGCCAAGTCAGTTCCAATTCACAGTGTCCCCCGTGTTACAAAGCAGAACTGTGCTTGATAGGGTTTTCTTGGAGCACACCACCAGGCCTGCCTTCCATGATGGCACTGCTGGGGGCTGGTTAAACCACCAACCTTTAGGTTAGCAGTCACTGAGCACAAACCGTTTGCACTACTTTGAGGGGCCAGCTTCCTTCAACGCTGCCTGGCAGCACTGTGGGATTGTCCCCTGCCCCCTCTGCCTAGCTCCACTGGCTTCCCTGTCTATGTTGACTTTGGCCACCCCCTCCCTAGGCCCTTCTCTCTTATACTTCCAAAAGCATTGCCTCACACCACTTACCTCAATTATGGACTCATTAGGCCCTATCTCTAAGTCTTTTCATGTCCAAGCTATTAAAATCACCCATAATTGAGTTGAGAGAGTAAGGAGCTCTGATGGCACCATCATTACAACATTTGGCTGCTAACCAGAAGGTTGGGGGTTCAAACCCACCAGTTACTCTGTGGCACCTTGGAAACCCTGTGGTGGCTATGAGTTGGAATCAACTCAATAGAATCAACTCAACTAATGTAATCTTTAGGAGCTCTGGTGATATACTACTGCCTAAGGCATTTGACTGCTAAACAGAAGGCTGGAGGTTCAAACCCACCAGCCACTCCTTGGAAGGAGGATTAGGCAATCTACATTCATAGAGATACCGCCTCAGAAACCCCAGGAGTGGCTGCTATGAGTCGAATTGACTCGACGGTAGTGAGTTTGGTTTAATGTGATCTTGGGCAGGATCAACTCAATGGCAGTGGTTTTGGTTTGGTTTTATGATTGAGTCTAGAGAGTGCTGGGCCATGGGCACCCACCCCATTCTCCCCACTGACACCCCCATCTCTCCCTCACTCTGCTCCACCAGAAAGCCCCACCTTCGGCTCAGGGAGCGCCATGACTGAAGCTAATTGGTGGAAGCTGACTTTCCTCCGAAAAAAGAAATCCACTCCCAAGGTGCTGTATGAGATCCCGGACACCTATGCCCAAACGGAGGGGGCCACGGAACCCCCACGGCCCGAGGGTGGGGGTCCCACCAGCGACTTCAACACCCGCCTCGAGAAGATTGTGGACAAGGGCACCAAAGGCAAGCACGTCAAGGTCTCCAACTCCGGCCGGTTCAAGGAGAAGAAGAGAGTGCGCGCCATGTTGGCGGAGAATCCCAACCTCTTTGATGACAGGGAGGACAAAGGACAGTGAAGGGGGCCAAGGAGGATGCTAGCACCCTTGCTCCCTTAACATCAGTGGGATCTGGGACAGGAGTAGACCATGCTGGTCTCTGGCCACTGCAGGGGCCATGGGGCAGTTGATGGCTGCTGGCGAGGAAATGTCTGGCTTTACCTTTGTTGAATGTGCCCAGCTTTATCGAAGGCCCAGAGATCTCAGGGTCCTCCTACCCTCCCCTAATCACATACAGAAGGCATTCTGGTTCAAGAATAGAAACTTCCACTCTGGAAAGACAGTCTGCCAGTGAAGCCGTGGTGGTGCCAGCAGGCAGGTAGCAGGTCAAGGCATGGAGATGGGAGGGCAGGCGGACTCCACCCCCGCCCTGGGCCCAGCCAGGGGTCAAGGGGTGAGTTTGAATTACTGCACCCTTTTTTCTCTACCCTGGACCAAGGCTGAAGAGAGCATGTTTCTGGAAGCCACATGATGGGGGGTTGGCTTCCTGGGAGCCTGAGGCATGGATAAGAAGCTGAACTTAGGCTCACCTTCCAACACGGTGTAAACTTCCGGGAACTCTGCTTCCAGGTGTGGAATGGGAAGAGGAGGCTGGCATTCCATGGGGCTGCAGAAGGCCACATTAGTTGATCCTCTATGTGTTCCTGCTTTGGTCACCACTTACGTGGGTGCCAAGCTACTCGCCCTCAAAGGGGAGGTCACACTAGCCCAAGGATTCTAAGGGGGTGGGGGAGGGGAGCTAAAAGCCACCAGTATTCACCTCTGAGACCCCTATTTGTATTTAAGATGGATCAGCCACAGAGATGAGTCCTGGAGCCTTGAATTTTAATAAACTCACCGTAGATTTATCTCTTTGTAATGAACAATGCTGCAAAAGTGCTCTTGTCCTGCATTTATTGAAGGGACTGTTGTTTTCTCATATCTTTATCTTCCTTTATGTAAATAAAGTGGAACTTTGTGCTCAAACTTTTCCTTGCAAATACCAGGAAGGGTATCCAGGTGTGAAAATGTAGGAACTGGGTCACTGGTTCCCCCTCAAGCTAGCCTTAGCATCTTGGGGGTGGGTTGGGGAAAAGCAGAGGGAGGAGCTAGTTACATTGCAGTGGGTCACTTCCTTCTGGCCAGAGAGGCCATCCGGAGCCCCAAGAGAGTGGGGCAGATCTTTGGTGTCTGGCCTCAAAGACACTGTGGTTTGGTTTGGGATCAGGATTCAAACTGATTCTATTCCTTAGTACCTGGACAATCTTGGGATTTTTAAAAATTTCCTTTTCCTTAAAAGGAGGTTATAATAATACCTACTTCACAAGGAGAGGTCAGTCATAAGGGGTTGGCCCATAGCAGGTACTCAGTTAACTGCTGATCTCCTTCCCTCTTCCTTTACTAGGGACCCCCTCCCTCGTTGCTTATTTAAGGAGTAAGTGCTCTGTCTACGACGTTGTCAGCTCCCCCCGAGTCAGCCTCAGACTCATGGCGACCCTGTGCACTGCACGACAGAACCAAACGCAGCCCATGCATGCCATCCCTGTGATCGGCTGGTTTTCAGAAGTAAACCACCAAGCCTTTCTTCCTTTGTCCAGCTCTTTCTCCAGGCACAGCTGCCCAATTTCCACTTTGTGGCAGGAACAAGGAGAGGCTGAGGTGGCCAGCTAAATGATGCCATCCTGCAGCTTCCAGGTTAGCTCTCACCTGCTGCTGGGCCACCCCACCCCAGGGAGCTGTTGCTCAGGAAATTTATTACCAAAACAAACAGACCTGTACAAGGGGGCCTTTGTTAGGGAGCCTCTCCCAGGTCACAGGGAACTCTGAGGGCACATGATGGAGACTAGGAGGGGGAGGGAGGGAAGGCAGGATGAAGTGTGCTGACCACCCCAAGGTTTCTTCCCTCATCTTTCCCCACCTTATGGAACTTTCTAGGGACATACCAATGACCGATGCATAGGGCCTCCCAAGGTGCTCAGACTTTCCGGTACCCATAGCCCTGCCCCGTGTGTCAACAGCTAACATTTAGAGAGCTCTTACAAAGGGGACCCATGGTGAGTGCTTTATAAGATCCTCCTTTAATCTTCTCACCAGCTGAGACAGGCGATAGCATTACTGCATCCCCATTTTCCAGACAGTTAGCTGTGGCTCAGAGAGGGTAAGTCACTTGCCCTCGGTCAGGTGCTCACAGTGACAGCTGGGACTGAAGCCAGAGTTGACCTGTGTGTGTGTAACCACTGCACCACACAGCCCCTCTCCACTGTTGTTTTTTGTCTGCTCAGGGGAAGGGAAACTGAGGTTCAGAACACGTGCTGCAGAAGGGGAACTGGGAATGAGGGCAATGTCTGGGCCACCGGAGGGCGCTGTGTGGACTGCGGAGAAAAACCAACCAACAGGCTTTAGGACTGGGTATCTGTCCCCTGAGACTCCAGCCTCCAACCTCCCTCTTCAGCCCATCTTGGGTTCTCTGAGGCTCAGGGGATGAAGGTGGCCGCATGGAATCACAGACACTACTCTTTCATGGCCCCCCTGCCTCGTGCGTGCCCACTCGGCTGCAGAGGAATCTCCCAGGGAAACTCTATTTAAATCCTTAAACTGGGAGAGGGGCTCAGTGGGTGGGAGGTGGGAACTAAAAACCAAAGGGAGCAGAGGCAGCTGCAGGATTTCAGGAGGAGGAGGAACCGAGAGTGCAAACAGTTGCAGGAGCCGGGAGAGGCTATGGATTATTGACCAGAGTTTCACTGGGACTCGACCCAAGGTGGGGGAGGGGGCTAGAACTGGCCTTCGCGGCTAAGGGGCCAACTCTGGGCAGCTGGCTCCCCCTGCTGGAGGCCCAACCTTCCTCAGGAGGAAAAAGGAGGTGTGTGTGTTGGGGGGGAAGGGGAGATGGGAGGAGACACATTCCCCAGTTCCCCTCCTGGGCCAGACCAGACCAGACTGGACATTGTCACACCTGCTGACAGGCTTTTATTAGATTTGGCACAGTGACTGAAGGACAGAGAACTGGAAAGGAGCTGCTGAGACATGTCTCAAAGTTGGGGGGATACACAGCCCCCAAGAACATGGGTGGGGTGCCACACTTCTCCGTACACACAGGTGCATATGTACTCCTAAAATTCACGACACAAGGACACAAAGGACAAGGTAGGGAAGACACCCGGCACCCTCTCCTGCAGGTGGCCACAGAGTACATGCCTTCCTGCGCTCAGGTTTGTGGGGGATTAACACAGGAGGCTGCCCTTGGAGGAGCCCAGTCAATAAAAGACACTGAAGCACACGCCCGTCCAGTCAAACAAAGCACAGTTTACGGAGTAGCAAGTCCAATGCCAACGAGTGCAAATAACAGTCAGATCTCTGATCCTGGCTTAGTCAGAGCAAACATTTACCAGCCTGCCTCCTCTCCAAAGCAGCACATCTCTCCTCCGGCCGTCCCTGGTCACCAGGTGTGGCTCCAGGAAAGCAAATACATTTTAGCACAGGCCTCAGCCCAGGTTATTAAAGATTCAGACAGTGAGGGGGGGAGGTCGTTGTTCAGAGGTTGAGGCCAGTACAGACCATCACCTGGAGGTCCTGCTGAAAAGATGAACTCAGTGGGTCTGGGAGCCGGGGGTGTGCATCTCTAACAGGCTCCTGGGGGATGCCGATGCTGCTGGCCCACGGACCACACTGTAAGTAGCAAGGATCTGGACCAAGGGGCTCAATCTTGGTTGTACACAAATACCCCGGGGACCTTGGGAAAATGCCAACACCCAGGCAGTATTCCAGACCAGTTCAATCATCTGAGGGTAGGAGTCAGCTACTGGGACTTTTGAAGCTTTGTGGTTGCAAACCCGGGTCTAGGCAGTCTCCATTCCAAATTTCAAATTGTGGACAAGAAAATCTGATTGGCTGGGTTGGTTCATGTGTCTACACTGGGACCAATCAGATTTGGCTAGCATGACCCAGTATATGGTGACAGAGCTGCTGGGGGCCCACCAGGTGTCACCAGAGAAGCGAATCACACCAGCTGCTATCCCCAGAGGGTGCTATTACCATAAATCCTCATCAAGGTGAAGAAAAATGATTATGGGATTATTTCCTCTTTGTGATTCTCACTGCTGCTGTTAGACCTCACTAGACCAGCTAATTGAGAAAACTGGGAAGACAAGCTCTGAAGAGCCCTAAATACCAGGGTGGAGAGAGAAATGGGTTGACTTTAGAGGGGCCTGACTTCCAGTCCCACACCCTCTGGTGGCACCTAGCCCCAGCCCCGCAGATTGTGGAGTCAGGGTGCGAGTCTCTCATACAGCCAGTCTTCCTCCCCGAGGTGGGTCATGGATCCCAAAGGGGAATCTCCTGCCAGTGGCCGCCGGAAAACAATCCGGTCATGCAGGCGGTTGGTTTGGCCTTGCCAGAACTCAATCACCTGCGGGCATAGGACGTAGCCACCCCTGTGAGGAGAAGCAGAGGTTTCACTCTTTGTGGATTTTTCCAGTCAGGTCACTCCTTCTTTTCCTCCCTTCACTCCCGGGGTCCCTTGAGGGAAGCTGCTGGAATGCCTTTGACCAGGTTTCCAGGGGAGAACCGATTTGTAATACCATGGACAGAATGGCTTTAAGTAAATGTGGGGGTCCTGGTGGTCCTTTCCAGCTGATTCCAAGGTACCAACTCACCAGTATTTTGGCTTAGGGACCTCTTGTTCCTGGTACAGCCGCTCTAGTTCCTCATTCTTCTTTCTCAGATACTGTCCAGGAGGAGGAGATGGAGCAGGGGCCAGCCCCAGTCAATGACTGGTTTAATGACCACTTACTGATCACGCGCTCTGGGCTAGGCACTGGGCAGGTGCTGGGGACATAGGTGAGCAGGGCCGACAGGCCTCCAGGAGCACACAGTCCAACAGAAGGCCATACAGTAACAAAAGCTTGTTTTCCCGCCCCTCCTCCACCTCCTCCACGGAGATGTCCTTTTCTATGTGCTGGAGGGACAGGGCTCTGGCAGTCACTGGGGGATGAGCCCCACTTACCTCCCGATCGGGGATCACAGAACTCTGGTGACTGACCACAGCCCCGATCTGGCTGCTCTTGGGGCGGGAGTGGAAGTAGCACTCAGCCTCCTCCTCGGGCAGCTTCCTCACGGACCCCTCCACTCGCACCTGCTCAGGGATGGCCTGGCTGGATGTGGTTCCATGTCATCTGCCCTCCCTGCCAACACATGCCCCATTCCTCTCTGTTCACCTTATCAACAGCCCCTTCATTGCTGGCTCCAACCACACCAGCTAATTGAGAGCTGCTTCTGAGAGGCAGGGAGTCCCTGAGTGTTACAAATGGTTCACATGCTCAGTTGTTAATAGAAAGGTTGGAGGATTGAGTTTACCCAGAGATGGCTTAGAAATGAAGCCTGGCGGTCTACGTCCAAAACCTCAGCCATTGAAAACACTATGGAGCACAGTTCTACCCCGACACACATGGGGCCATGAGTCAGTGTCAATTCCAAATGGGTATCTGGTAGTTTTGAAAGGCCAAGTGCTCCACGCCTAGGCAGGCTGCTTGCCCAGCCTGGCATCCCTCTCTGGGTTCATGTATAAACTCAGGGTCCTCCCCACCCAGCCCATCCCAGGCTGTCTATGAACTGCTCACTCACCTGTCGGTTAAGAGGTTCCCAGTAGAAAACAAGGGAAGCAAAGGGGTTGGCATCCTGGAAATGGAAGAGAACCCACGAACTGCTATCAGGACAGGACATCACTGGCATGCAGGGTAGAAGGTAGAAATCTGTAGGGTGTGGGCCCAAAGCAGGTGCATTTATGTAGCTTCTCATTAAAACCTTCAAAGGCAGACCTACGGATACTGAGACAGGCTCAGAGAGGATATATAATGTGTCCAAGTTCACATAGTAAGTGGAAGAGCTGGGTTTAAAACCCAAGCCAGTTTGGCTCCAAAGTAAGACTTTATCATTTCTCTCACCCATGGATGTGTGAGTCCCGAGAAAAGCCTGTTTGGCTGGCATGGCCTCAGGGTGGGCTTCTGTTTTTGGATTCAATCACCAAATGCATGTTGGGGGTCAACTCTGTGCGCAACGCCAGTACAGGTGTTGGGGACAGAGCAGAGCTAAGAGCCACGGGGCCTCTGCCATCACAGTGCTTACCTTTTAGCAGGGGAGACAAACGTTAACCAAATAATCACATAAATATATGTGCAGTTACCAACCATGAAAACATGGCAGAAAGTTATGTTACAATGAGAGCAAACAGCACAGGAGGCTGACTCGGTGTAGGAATCTTGGGAGGAACAGGACTTAGAGAAACAGGTAATAGAGGAAGAGGGCAGGGATGAGTAGGAAGAGCATTCTTGATGGCAAGGAGAACAGCAAGTACAAAGGCACTGAGGAAGGAAGGAGCCTGAAGCACTGAAAGCAAGTGGGGTTGGGGGGGTGGGGGCTGCTCAGAGGCAAGGGCTGGACCATGCAGACCAAGGATTTACCAGCTCTTTTCCTTTTCGACTCTCAAAGTTAGTGAAGAAGCGGAAGCCATCCTTGCCAAAGCCCTTCAGCAGCAACATGCGGGCAGAGGGTTTTCCATCCCTAGGGCACACAGCAAAGCACCATTTCAGTGCTGTCACTACTGCCTCCACTTGGGGCAGGATGTCTGAGCACCCACTCAACTCTCTAGGCCCTCAGGCTTTCAGTCTGCTCCACTCATCCCTACTCGTCCCTAGGGAATTGTCCTAGAATTACAAGTATGTCACTGTTGCCTGGGTCCCTAAGGGCAGGGACCAACAATAACATAATCAGCAAACAATTAGGGATCAGGGAAGGTGTGGTTATGTGAGGTCCTCTGTGTAAACCTCTGGGGTATGGTCTAAGATCCCTGCCTTCAAAAGCCTTATGCTTTTGTGAGTGGGGGCATGAGAGAAATACAGGAAGAGGCTAGTACATGAGATGTCTCAGAGGGTATATAATTGGTGGACAAATGAATGACCTGGGTAAGCACTGTAGCACTGTTCCAGGTTTCAAGAAGAGGGAGAGCTTCACCAAGAGTTCCCAGGAATAGACCTTGAAGGACAGATGGAAATGGGCAGGTGGGTAGATGAAGGAGGCAAGGGTGTGTATGTGTGTATATGTGTGGGGAAAGGTATCAAGGGCAGAGATGAGCTAGGCACTGTATTTTATTACTCAAATGGAACTTAGTACCCTGATGGCACAACACTTAAGTGCCTGGCTGCTAACCGAAAGGCTAGCGGTTTGAATCCACCCAGTGGCTCTGTGGGAGAACAATGTGACAATCTGCTTCTATAAAGATTACAGCCTACAAAACCCTATGGGACAGTGCTATTTTGTCACATGGGGTTGCTAGGAGTCAAAATCAACTTGACATCACCTAACAACAACAGTCTTCAGATTAGAGGTACAAACACTGAGGCCCAAAGAAGACCAGTGACTTGCCTGAGGCCACAAAGCATGTTAACAGCAGAGCCAGAACCATAAAGTTGGCATCCATCAAACTGAGCACTTCCTAAATCTCTTACTTCATCTGCACCCACTCACAGAAGGGTCTGTGGCATGCCTACCTGGTGCAGGTGGCCAGACACATGGCATTGGCTTCTCCTATGTCAGGACACTGAACAGCCTCCTCAAACCAGGCAGCAAACTGCTTCATGGGGTCCAGGGAAGTCAGGTGAGCCTCCTCAAATGCCTGAGATGGACAGTTTTACTTTCAGTTCATTTAACAAACACATATAGCACTTACCTGGCAGTGTTATAAGCACTTTCCAAATATTAACTTATTTAGTCCTCTTAACAAAAAACAGTACCCACGCTAGGATCTACTAGCCCCATTTTACAGGTGAGCCAACCAGAGCAGAGAGAGATCGAATAATGTGTCTGGTCATACAGCTAGAGAGGGATGAATCTGGGCTTTGTCTCATGGGTATCAAACCTATCTGTGCATCAGAATCACTTGGGAAGCCTCAAAAAATAAAACAAATTCCTGGGCTCCACCCTCATCGAGTCTCACTCAGCACGTTTGAGGTTTATTGATAAACTACATCTGTAACAAGCATTTCAAGAGCTACTAACAAGGCAGTCAGATTAAGTCACCATGTCTCTGGGCTCCAACCCCAAAATAGATCTCTCGGTTCTTATCCCAAGGAGCTCTGGTGGCGCTATGGTTAAGGCATTGGGCTGCTAATCAAAGGGTCAGCAGTTCGAAACCACCAGCTCATGGGAGAAGGCCGAGGTAGTCTGCTTCTGTAAAGATTTACAGCCTTGGAAACCCTACAGGGGTTGCTATGAGTCAGAATCGACTCCATGGCAGTGAGTTTGGTTTTTGGTTTGGTTCCTATCCTCAGGAAAGGACTCCCCCACGTGGTAAGCAGAAGGAACTGAAGGTAGTAAGAGGAGCTTTCTTTCCTCCTCTCTCTCCCCCCTATTTCACTTATTTATCAAATATTTATAAAGTGCTTATCATTGCTCAAAGCCCTTTATACATTTCAAATACATAACATCCCTATGAATAGGTACCATTTTACCAATAAGGACAACAAAGCCGATTGAAGTTAAATTGTCAAGGTGACCCAGCCAGTAAATGGTTCCAACCCAGGCAGGATCCAAGTTCGTGCCTTATCCACTATGACACCCTGCCTCTTGAACTCATCTTCATCCACGTTTCCCCATTTTTTTTAAGCCCTCATGCCCTATGGGGGTGACCCTCAAATCCCCTTGCCCCAGTGGAGTTTCTCCAACTCTCCCTATCCCAGTAAATGACTCTGGGACCTCCTCTAATCTCGCGCCCTGTGGTAGGTCCCGCCCCAATGGCTGCACCTCTCGGTCCCCGCGATAACTCTTGCGCATCGGTCCCAGGTCCATGACAGCACCACGACCGCACAGGTGGCGGAGGTAGCCTGGCCACTCTGCCCGTCGTCCGAACGTCACGGTGAAGCCAAGTAGCCTGCTCGTCATGGGGGCCGCCGGCCACGTGACCCGGCGTCGCTCTGCGCCAGGTTCCGTTAGGCTGGGAACCAATTTCTCAGCTCGGTCCTTTACCCACGGGAAGGAAGAATTTGCCAGTTGCCAAACCCAGCTAACAAGTCTTTACTTCTAGGAGCCAATGGGAGGCCAGGATCAGAGGAGGGAGACAGGCGCGGAGAGGTCATTGGTTGGCGTTTTCCGGAAACGAGGCCAATTAGAGCGAGAACGGAGGATACCAACGGCCAATGGGTAGCGCCTCCGGGGGCGGGAGTAGAGAGACAAGGAAATGCTGTCACCGCCGTTAACACGCACGTGGAGATTTGTTAAAGGTATAGGAACTGAAGCAGCTCAGGCCGGGGACGGGGGTGCTGAGCCACTGAAGACTTAAGGGAATGGTCAATATTAAGTGGCTGGTCCATAGTAACTGCCTGAAGGCTAATTTAGTGCAGGAAGTACTCCCTGGGAGAGGAGGCTGGTGGGCTAGCAAAGTATATAGAGGAAATGGAGTTAGGGGCCAGTTCCCCAAGCAAGGTGATGGGGAGACACAGGAAAAGGTTGGGAGAAGAAATTGGGGCTTGAGAGTAGGAGAGATTGAAGTGATTTGTGGAGTACACTTGATGAGGACTGTTTAGTTGATGGGGGAAGCGGGGATACTCTGGGATCTGGGGAGACCACATTGAGAAGGAAGACGGCTGCAGGGGAAGGGGGAAGAGGGAAATTTTGGATTAAGCCGTACCAGACCAGAGCCATCTTCCTCTTCCGGCTCTGAGCCCTCCTTCTGCAGCCTTGTCTTCTAGTTGCGCTCAGGCCATGCTAGCTCCTTGTTTTCCCCTCTCACAGTGCACTGCAGTTGACACTAGCTCGTGTTGGAAAAGTTGTCGCTACTCCACCTCTCGTAGGTCTCGTCTGTCTTTGCTGAGTTTCCCCCTTTTCCCCTTCCTGGGTAGCTAGGAAGGTCCATCAATGCCAGCAGCAGCTGAAGGTACAGGGGAGCAGGTGGCTGTGCAAAGCCCTCTCCAGGCTCTGGATTCAGGGCTGAGATGGGAAACCTGCCAGTGTCCATTCCTGCTTTGACCTGGCTGGACCTTGGGTTGCAGCCTCCTCTATAGCCTCAATTTCCACCAGCAGCAGGAAGGGGAGCTGCAAGAGCCATCTAGGCAGGCACCCCAGGACTGTGCCAGGTAAGGGGAACTTCCTGCTCTGCCCTGTGCAAGTGTCTGCGTGCCAGCTAAGCTTCTTAAAGCCACACACTAGATAAGTATTATCCTTTATCATGTGCTCAAAACTCACTGCCGTCGAGTCGATCTGACTCATAGCAACCCTTCTTTGGGTTTCCGAGGAGGTACCTTTACAGAAGTAGATTGCCCAGTCTTCCTTCTGAGGAGCGGCTGGTAGGTTTGAACTACCAGCCTTCTGGTTAGCAGTCAAATGTCTTAGACACTATGGCACCAGAGCTCAAAGCTTGAACCAAATAGAAGCTGGAAGACATATTTTCTGCAAAGAAATAATATAGGTCTCAAAGCTTAATGATATTGATCTACAGATTATCCACTGGGTGGAGCTTTTGGCGTTGCCATCATTTTTCTCCATCAGCATGATTGAGAGTTGGACTTAATTTCTTGTTGAGGGTGTTTTTTCACATGAGAATCGGTGTCCTTCCCACCCCTATCTCTGCACTTGCACCCATTTAAGCAGGAATCAGTGCCCTGCAGTGCAAATGGTTTTGTCCATATGGCTGCTGCTTTTAGCATTCCTGGACTACTGCTACCCTGGACTCTAGATTCTAGGGCCCTGAGACTACAGTGGTTTAGATAGGAGTTCTAGGTTTTCTGAAAAGGCAAGAGCTCAGTATGGTGGTGTAGACATTTATTCATTTGGTAGACATTAGATAAAGGCTTCTTAACGGACCAGGCACTGAACTAGGTTTGAGAATACCAGATGGAGATGACACGGTTTCTGCCCATGAGGGGCCTGCAGTCTATAGATGTTGGCAGATCTGTAAGCTCAAGAGTTGTAGGTAATTTATTGGGTAATCTACTTCTGTAGTGATAACACCTTGGAAACCCAAGGAGGGGTTGCTATGAGTTGGATCCGACTCGACGGCAGTGAGTTCAGTTTTGTTTTTGGTATAGAGTAGAAAGGAGCAAAAAGAGGGAAGTGGTCTCCAGGATCAACCAGGAAAGACTGTGTGAAGGGAGTGGATATTTGACTTGTTTTGAGTGATTGTTCACTGTTGTTGTTATGTGCCGTCGAGTTGGACCCGACTCATAGTGACCCCTCCTTGGTTTTCCGAGGCAGTATCACTATGGAAATAGATTGCCCCATCTTCCTTCTGAGGAGTGGCTGATGGATTTGAACCGCCAGCCTTCTGGTTAGCAGTCAAGTACCTTAGGCATTATGCTACAAGGGCTCCCTAGACAATGGAATGAGCATACCAGGAAGTGAGAACATGAGGAAAAGCTGAGTGCCTTTGGGAAACTTGGAGTGTTGTGATATGGCTGGTGCAAAGTAGCAAGTAAACGGGCTGGACAAGTAGATGTGCCTTGCTGGAGAACTATTCTGCAGGTGGCCGGGACCAGACTTTTAAACACAAAGATTCTAATTTTTTATCCTGTGATTGTTCAGCCATCTGGTAGCATAGTGCCTAAGGCACCTACCTGTCTGCTAACCAGAAGGCTGCAGTTCAAACTCACCAGCCACTCCTCGGAAGGAAGGTTGGGCAATCTACTTCCATAGAGATGTTGTGTTGTTATGTGCCGTCAAGTCGGACCCAACTCATAATGACCCCTTTGGGTTTCCAAGGCAGTATCACTACAGAAGTAGATTGCCCCATCTTCCTTCTGACGAGTGGCTGGTGGATTTGAACCGCCAGCCTTCTGGTTAGCAGTCAAGTGCCTTAGGCACTATGCTTGGAAACCCAAGAAGGAATTGCTAAGTCAGGTCCGACTGGACGGCATCTAGCAACAATAGACTCCCTGGTTTGTGATCAGCTGCTAATCTAAAAGTTGATGGTTCAAACCCAGCCAGTGGAAGAAAGCAGGAGGCCTACAGATCTGATTTCATGAAAATTACAGCCAAGAACACCCTGGGGTGGAGAGTTCTACTCTATGCCACATGGGAGTGCCATGAGTTGGAATTGACTCCGTGGCAGTGGGCTGGTTGGTTGTTGTTTTTCATTGTAGAACTAGAGTGTTCTGTTTTTTAAGCCCCAGGTGGAGGGAAGAGTACTAGATTCTGACAGCCTCTCCCTTCCTGGGCGTTTTATAAGGATATGTACAACTGGTTGCCTTTTTTTAATTTTCGCTTTTGTCTTAGAGATAATAAGTAGGCTTGTGTTGTGCTTTTCTGCTAGTCAGATTTGGTGTGTGGATCACAAAGCCACCCTGCAGTGTATAATCAGAGAGGGACGGGCCACTGGTGGCTGCTGCTCCTGACTCAGCCTCGCCAAGGGCTTTATCTGAGTGGGAGAAATAAAAATTTCCCTGTTTCTGCTGTTCCTTAAACACTTTGTCACCTTTCCCCCAACTTTATGAAAGTATCAATATTTTCTTGAGAAAGTATCTTGAATGAATAGAAAGTATATTGCAATATTGTATCGTGTGGAGATGGTTTGTCAGTATGGACAGAAAGGCTGCATGTGGGTTTGGGGATTACACTTTGCCTGTTTTCTTCTAATGCATTTGCATTGATGATCTTAAGCCAGCTTTTATCTAATTATTTGATTTAATGGGATATTTCAGTTAGATATTCTAGTGATTAGATTTGTTTTTGGGGACCTGACTCTAGTGACCACGTGGATGATGGGCTAATGGAAGAAGGCAAGGTTGGTGAGATGGGATACTGGCAGACACTGCAGTGTTTGTCTGTGTGGAAGCTAGGGTGGGGGGCAGGTGCATGCACATGGGGGTGAAGAGGAGGTACGGAGAGAAGGGAATGGTTTACCCAAGGTTGGCTTTAGGTGACATGGATGATGCTATTCATTGAAGCAGGGCATGTTGGAGAAGGTTTGGAGAAAAAGCTGAATTCATTATTGGACCTCTTGAGTGGGAGGGTTGATGGGACACCCACACTTGGTCAGGATGGATAACTGCATCTGGAGCTTAGGGGAGAGGTCTGGGCTGGTGATTATGATTCAGATATCATGATCCTCCCAAGGGGGAGGATGAGAATGAATGCTTGAGAAGGGAAGAAGGCCTAGGGAAATTAAGGAGGATGGTGGGGAGGTCCAGGAAGAGTGGTCATGATGCTAGTGAAATACCAGTACCAGTTGCCATCAAGTCAGTGCCAACTCCTGGCGACCCCGGGTGTCAGAGTAGAACTGTACTCCATAGGGTTTTCATTGGCTGTTTTTGGGAAATAGATTACCAGGCCATTCCTCCGAGATGCCTCTGTGTGGCCTTGAACCGCCAACCTTTTGGTTAGCAGCCACTGGTTAGGGAAGGGTGTGGTTAATGCAGAAGTCACAGACTGCTGGTCTGAGGGCTGAGAAGGTCCTGCTGTATTTTTAGACAATCTTTGAGTCTTTAAAGATTGGGAGGTTTCACATGAAACTCCCCATTGCTGGCTTCTCTCACAAGAGTCAGACCTGGCATTCTCACACAGCACCAACGGGCAAAGCTGAGTGGGGGCACACTGTTGGGAGAGGCTGTGCATCCCGGCAGGAGCTCTGGTGATGCAGTTGTTAAGGCATTTGGCTGCTAACTGAAAGTTGGTGATTCAAACCCACCAGCCGCTCTGTGGGAGAAAGATGAGGCAGTCAGCTTCCGTAAGATTGAGTCTTAGAAACCCCCTGGGCAGTTCTACTGTGCCTTGAAGGGTCACTATGAGTCAGAATCAATTAGATGGCAATAGGTTTGTTTGTTTTTCCTCGTTTTTTTGTACCCCAGTTTGTAGGTCCCACACTCTCCCGACATTCTCAGCTCTAAGGTTAGCTGTTTTCTTTATGGTTGAGAACTGTTTTTCCCTCCTGGTCCCTGAGGCATCTGAGTTTCCGGCGGGCTAGTGTTTAATCAACTGTGAGTGAGAGGCAGAGAGGAAGAAGGGGCTTGATGGCAG